TCCAAAGTGTGTATTATAATCACCCATTTTATAGATGGGCAAACTGAGGCCCCTGACAAAGTGCAGAAACTTTCCCAAGATGACACAGTAAATTGCTGATGGAACTCTAGCCCAGCCTTCTGACTCAGCCCAGTGGTCTCCTTACCACAGTCCAGCTGTGTAACATAACAAGATACTCTTTCTTCCTGTTGGTACTATTTCTCAAACTCATTATTTCTTCAGTACATGTGCTGAGGGAAACAGGGAAACAGAAAACTAAATGTGGTTGCAAATGAATCTGTTTACTACTTTCCCAAAGGTAGAGTGGGGGAAGAATTGTTAGACTGTGCAAATGCTAAATATCTACATTTTCCTGAACTCTCAGTTGGTCCCTTACTTGGGTTTGACTATTCAGACATGATATGGCTGACACCATTACCAAATATCCCATCCTTACTGGAGAAGAGCCAGGGATAGCGTATGTATGCTCACAGATGAGTGAATGACAGAGAAACAGAGACAGAGAGAGAATGAGTATGAGTGTTGGGGGTGGGGGGTCAAGTCCATGGCCAGTGACTACCTGGCCAGTCTATATGAGCCAAAGAAAGAAGAGTGAGATAAGCTATGAGCCAGGAGAAGAGCAGGCAACCTGAGACCAGCCTTCCAGATACACCTGGACAGGACACCAAAGTGGAGGGCTGAACAGAAGTGGAACAAAGGGCTGGTAGAACAACGATGGGAGGTCAAGCAGGGGGTATACAGATGGGAAGCACGGCATTGGTGAATTCAGAAGAAATTTGCCAGATGCTGGGTTTTGGCTCTGGAATTCCTTTCATGAGCAGACTTTCTGCAGCCCTAGCTGGGAACAGGACCTTGTGGCCAGGAGGGAGAGGGACAGGCATAGGCAGCATTTTAGTTCCTCTTCTTGTGGAGTGATCACTCTGCTCTTGGGTTTAAGAGTCTGTGGCTGGGAATCAGCATCCCTGGGTTCTAGACTAAATCCCACCACTGCAACCTATGTGACTTCAAAAAGTTCATATTCTCCCAGTTTTTTCATAAAAATGAAAAGAATTATCCACCACTGATACCCAACTCACAGGATATTAGGGTAATACTGAATTTTAAAAGTCAAAGAAAACAAAACAAAAAATCAAACCCATTGCTGTCGAGTTGATTCTGACTCATAGCGACCCTATAGGACAGAGTAGAACTGCCCCATAAGGTTTCCAAACAGGAGCTAGCGGATTCAAACTGCCTTTCTGTCAGCAGCCATGCTCTTAACCACTGTGCCAGCAGGGCTTCAAAAGTCAAAGAAGCACTCTATTGCTGTACCTTGGCCTTGGTTATAATGTGGCTGAAGTCAGATGAGCTAAGTTCACATAATTCTCAATAATAATAATAGCAATATTAACTCTTACATAGCACATACTGTGTTACTAGAATTTAATATTCGTGAGATACTTAGAATAATCCTGACTACAGCCTATGAAATGGGTACTATTATTGTCTCCATATTGCAGAGAAAATCAAAGCATCTATATGTTAAGTAACTTACCCAAGGTCATACAGTAAGCAGCAGACTAACAATGCAAGCCCAGCAAGTCTGGCTTCAGAGTCTGTGTTCTTAAACACTATGTGATAATGCCTCTTGCTAAAGGATAAAAACAACCAATAACCCAAGTCTCACTCCTGTTTTCAGGGCCCAGTAACATACAGCATTGTAATAATCATATTTAGCTGAGATCAAAACCAAAGTGGAAAAATCCAGATCTATAAAGCAGGCAAATTAGAAGATGAAGAATCATTCTACGCATGCCAAAAAAAATAAAAACAAAAACTTCACGAAAGAATTTGAGACAGAACCCCATTTGATAACAAGCTCCCTGTTTAAAATAAGAGTCAATTTATAAGAAAGAGTTAATACTCAACTTTTTAGGAGGTCAATAGTTGCTTTATTCTAGGTCTCCCTTTATTACAAATATGAAGTAATATCCTTGACAGGCTGTCAAAGCCTGTGTCATAGATTGTCACAGAAATGGCCTCTAGTGGGTCATGCATCTTTGTATCCAAACCTTGTATAGTACCCTCCGCATTTATTCTAGGTTTGGCAATGTGACTTGCTTTGGCTGTGGGACATCAACACACATGATACAAGTAGGGCTTGAAAAGTAGTTGTATATTGGAGCTTATGATCTTGGAACACTCTTGCCATGCAAATAGGCCTATACTAACCTTCTGGAGACATGTAGCTCATCCAACAACCAGCACTATCCTTAAACATGTGAGTGAGGCCATCTTAGACCATCAAGCCCCAGTCAAGCCTCCAGATAACTGTGACTGCACAAGTGATACCAGGCAAGACCAGAAGAACCGCTCAGCTGAGCCCTGCCAAATTACTAACCCACAGAATTATAAACAAATAAAACATTTCTTTTAGACACTAAGTTTTGGGGTAGCTTATTATGCAGCAAAAGCTAACTAATAGAGTCCAAGGTATTTCATAGAGTAGCAATAGCAATATGCAACCTTATAATTGCTGAGGCACCTGGAGCATTTTCACAAGTAGGTAGGAGAGTCAGTTGGCTTAGAAAGTGGATTCAGAAGTACTGGGTTGAAAGGATGACATGTGGTGCCATTACTTGTTTTTATCTGCCTTCCATTCTGTGACCTCTGAACCAAGTGGTTGGGGAACACTAACCCAATCTTCATGATCCTACAAGCAGATCAGAGGAAAAAGAAGAAAAGAGGTCATGCTGTATCCTGAGAAAGCCAACTATTGGCTTTTGTGTCTACTGACAGTAACTGGCCAGCTTCACAGCTACACATTGTCCTCTGCTTCAGTCCCTTCCACAGCATTATCATTAGTCCCTCAGCATTACTGCTACAGATTAGGGGAGTTGAGGCATAGAGCAGGGAAAGCCCTTAACCAAAGACAAAGAAAATCTCTCTGAGCTTTTAAAAGAATAAAATCATCACCCAATCTAACTTATTCCTTTAAAAATGAGAAATAGAGGCTCATAAGGGATGATCTGTCCAAAAGCCACATAAACTAGATATGGTTATTCTGAGCCAGGAACTCAGGTGCTTGGACTTTAATATCTACAGTGACTTGGTATCAGGACATGAGCATTGAGGCCCAAGGGAGGAACCATATCATACAGACTCTAGTCTAATAATTCTTCTGTCTTTGATTGATTTGAGAACACTGTCCAACTGATCACCTAAGACATCCAAGGAATCCATAAGATGCATTAATTACAATAACTTTTTCAAATAATGACTAGGCAACTTGGGAGACCAAAGGATATGAGAGGAGAAAAAGCCACTAAAATTTCATGATGGTAAAGATGGTAATATTTACCTGTAGGTTTTCCTTTCCACTTCAATTGAATCGCCAATTAATAATGGCCATAAGTAGCATATTTTACAGAATAAATACATTATTAACTTTATGAAGTACAAACTGTGGCTCATAAATGATTTTGCAAATCATTCTTAAATCTTAACATATGCATCTAAGTTAAACCTGACATGTATATCTGATTTCATTTTATACGAGGGAGAAAATCCCTGATCCCTTTTCTATTTCTTACTTACTGTGTGAACCTTAGCAAGTGATTTAACTACTCCAGGTCTCAGATGTTTCATCAATAAAACAAGGGGACTGGACTTAAGTCTGAAAGCACACAGTAGAATGGAAAGAACTGTAACTGCAACCACAGCTGAGATTGAATCCAGGACCGAGCATACTGTTAACTATCTGGCTGGGGGCCTATACTTCACCTCTTTTCTCATCTAGGTAAATGAAGAAACCACGTACGTCTCACAGATTTGGTAAGCATAAGAAATACTATGTTTAAAGTATCCAGCACAGTGACTGGCCCACAGGAGTGCTCAATAAAGAAAATTATAATGATTCATTCATTCCACAAATATTTCTTGAACCTCAGCTATGTGCCAGGCACTATTCTAGGTACAAAGAATAATGTGTTTAAAAAAACAAAAATCCCTGCCTTGTCTCACTTGACATTCTAGTGCATGGTGATCCATAACTCTAACATTCAAGGAGCTATCTGCCTTATGCTACAGGAAAGTCTCCGAATCCATCCTCAGCTTCACTATAGAATCCAGCAATTTGCCTCTGTGGGTCTCGTCGTAGACTGGGTAGGTTCTTACCTGCTTAGGGGAGGCCAAAGTCTCTCACTCAGATTGGCTCTCCTAGGCTTCTCTTGGATTCCCTGGGTGATGCAAAGTTAACATGCTGGGCTGCTAAACCGAAAGGCTGAAGGTTCAAGTCCCCCCAAAGGCACCTCAGAAGAAAGGCCTGGTGATGTACTTCCAAAAGTTAGCCATTGAAAACCCTATGGAGCACAGTTCTATTCTGAAACACACGGAGTTGCCATAAATCAGATTCAACTTGATGGCAATTGGTTAGGCCTCTCTCACCACTAGCCCAGAATGGTATCCACCAGGGAGGGACAGAAGCAAGCCTGGGCTTCACACCTCTCTTCCACCTTAGCCTCTTCCCCCATCTCCCACGCTAGAACTGTCCTCCAAGCCTGCACTAGAGCCTTCAGAACCCTCCATGAAGGCCAAGTTTACTTAGCAGCATTATGCCCTACTTCCCACTAGAGGTCGCCCTCCCACACAAGCCCAAGCAAACAGACCTGTGCTTTGCCTCCTTGGCAGCAGTGATATTATTTTCTTTCTCTACTTTTATCTATTAAAAAGATTTCTTCACAGCCATAACTTAGATCTCTACACTAAAATGGAGCAACAGGAAGATATAATGGTGCATTTCATTTATGAATGACCTATAATAAATTACTCTGAAGTGTCCCAAGTGCCAGAAGACAGAACGCTTTGTCTGCCCACGGACTGTATTTCACATACTTTAATTTAGCTGACACATAAAACTCATTTGACATTTTGCAGGTATTTGTGGAGGGGTGGGAGGGTTCAGGAGGGGACAACTGTGGGGCTGGGCAGGGAGTGGGGGCAGCAGGCAGAGGAAAGGATATTTGGTTCTTGTTGAGGGTTAAGGTATGGAGGCTGGGTAACCCTGGCAACACGAGGTCGTCCCCGAGCAGATTGTTGTCCAAGATGAGCTCCTCCAGGCTGTGGAACGCGCTCAGTCCTTCCAGTGACCTGCAATGACAAAAGCAACAGGAAAAATGATCCTGCACTAAATCAGGGAGGCCATTATGAGCCGAAATAAATATTTTAACCTTCCCTTTCAGGACTGGGAATAGTTTGGGCTTGGTGCCTGTCAGCAAAGTGAATGACAAGAATTAGTAGTGGGGAGCTGGGGCGGGGGCGGCGGGGGAGAAGGGGCCGCTGGCACTCACCGCATCCTTCACGCACTGCCAACATGAAGGATGAGGGTCACTTAGTGAGTAGCCAGGATCCAAAACAAAGGGCTTCAGATACGGCCTGCAGGATAAATTTGTCAATGTCTTGTGCCTTGAGGCACCCAGCCTCAGCTGACCCTAACCTCCATTCCCAAGATAAATAACTCTGTCACAGTTCACCTTCATTCCCTGGACACAAATTTAAGTTGTCATCCATCATTCCTGCCCAGAAATATCATACCCCTCTTACAATAATAAATATAACTTCAAGTATCATTTCTTAGCGTTCTTCTCTGTACAGTGCTAGGGAACGGCAGGGAAGGCTCCCTTTCTCTCCGTTCACCGCCTCTGACTTTTTCTCTCTGCTTTTTTCTTTACTAATCACTTCATTTGCTTCTGCCCAGCGTCTCTATGGAGGCTCAACATGCAAGGTGTCTGCAGAATTGCATAATCGCTCCAGTCTGAGATAGCGTTTTGCTTTTTCTTCATTCTTTGTTTTTATTCACTTATTTTTGTTGTTTGTTGTTTTGGGGGTGGAGGGTGGTACGGTGGGGGAATTTCTCCCTCAAAGCACCTGGCTTGAAGGTACTGTTTTACCTTATGGAAAGTGGATTTCTGGACTTTAGCTTTGAAAGAAGTGCAGATTTCAGTCATGTGGATGCTGAGGTAGTAAATAAACAGGCATCTGAAAGAATTAAGTACCCAGCTCAGGGAATGAATAAATCAATAAATAT